CTTTAATAAAAATCATAAATTTGTAATAAAAATCATAAACATTTGTCTCAAAAATACAGTTTTATGTGTTTAATGCAATTATGAAAACAATATTATTAGATTAATATGTTTTAAAAATATTAAAATAACCCTAAAACTAATCCCCGATTAATCCCCAATTTTAATCCGATTTTCCGATTAATCGCTCGGTCCATACCGAGCGTCCGACTAGCGCCTAGCGATTTTTCAAACAAGGGCCACAACTATACTTCCAGGTTTTGGACTAAAGCCCAATAGGCCAAAAATAAAACCAAACCCAATTTTTTTTTTTTTTTTTTATTTCCTTCGTATACACTATCATCTATGTCTAAATTGTATGTCAACTCAAAATTTATCTCAGTTAAAACGATTTCTGTGATTATATCTGTCAATAGTTTTTATTCAGCTATTTCGCAGATCAGTGATATTTGTAAAACCACAACCCATAGATCCGTTAATACAGCTGTTATATATAGTGAGATCATCACAATCCTTTCACCAAGTAGCTGTTTAAAGTTTAAACATGAAATATCGTAAATCTCGGGTTCAATGTATCTGGTTTGAAATTATGACATTTCAACTATTTCGTTGCTTTGCTCTAACCTATTAGAAAAAAGGACGTACAAAAGTAATGTTACAATCTTATCTTTAAAAAAAATCTAAAAAGATTTTTGTGTACATATATTTCAATAGATATATTTTGGCTTCATTACAAAAGTGAACTTATCTTCATTCTTCAAAGCATTCCACGCAGCCACATACTTGGAACCAGTCCACGCAGCCACATCTCCTACGTCTCTTCTTAATTCTCACAATCCCAAAAAAGATCAATAATAAGTCATTTCTTCTCTACCTCTCTCTCTCTCCCACAGTGTAAACTCTTTCGCCACAAAAGTTTAAGGTAAATCTATGGATCTCTCTTTGTCTCTAGATGTTTCTCTTATAATTTATTTTTAGTTACTAGTAAATATTTTCTCTAATCATTCAATTTAGGAATGTATTCTTGTCTACTTTATCAAAAAAAAAAAAGTGTTCTTGTCTTGGCTTACAGAGTGATCGATGACTCTTCTTTCTTTTAGAATTGCCTATTTTTTTAATTGATGTATGAATTCTCTAAAATCTAAATATTATGTGAAACTAAAAGTTACATTAATCTATCGAAAGCGAAATATTAGGTTGAATTATAGATTTTACGTAATATAAGCCAAGGTAGATAATTCAGAATAGTAAACACTATAAATAAGTCAATAAACAAAGTATAAATTTTCTCAGACTATATAGGTTTGCAAACCTGAAAATAATTAAGGTGTTGTTCGTTTCTCCATTCAGATGGTCCATCTGAATGGAGATAAATATTGATGTTCGTTTAGAGTAATTTAATGGATCAGTTGGATGGATCAGTCAGATGATTTTTAATAAACTCATCCGAAAAATGATCAGAATCTGGCTGAGTCTGATCGGTACAGTCAGCTGGAGCTGACTCAGTCCAAAATACGAAATGTCATATATACCCCTACCTAATTAAAAGAATTACACCAAAACCTAAACCTACTTCTCCTTCATTCCTCGACCTTACCCCAACAGAGACGGCGGCTACTTCTCCTTCATTCCTCGACATTCACTTCGCCGGAGCTCTTCGCCGGATCTCTCGCCGGAATCCACTCCTATCTCTTGCCTAAATCCACTCTTCCTTGTTTCTTCTCGTACGTTCTCTATCTCTCTCACTCTCCCCTTCTATCTCTCTCGTTTTGGACAAAGTTAGATTGATTGTTGTGGATCCGTTTCTTCTTGTGTACTTAGCTTTTTTAGTAGAAAATTTACTTTTGCGAGTGTTTTTAATTGGTGGGTATTGTTCTGTTTGATTGGATAAGTGTTTAAAATGATTGTCCAAGTTTGTATTTTCATAGACTACTCACACAGATCCAACTTATATTGAGCACAATAGAATAATCTTATGATATTGAGCCAGATTGTGTAGAAGATTTGTCTATGCTCAATGATAACTCAATGATATTTACTTGCTGTGATGATATTACGTGGATTTGATGCATTATTACAATCTGGATTATGTGTAGACTAGTTTGATGCTTCTTGTTAACTAGTTTATTGCTTATTGCTTAAGACTTATTTAAGACTAGACTTCCATATTAATAGGTTCCATCTCTCTGCCCCTATGCTTTAATTTACTGTTATCTCAATGTTTCTATGTATGAAGTATTGTTGTTGAAAGCTGAAAGCTTCTACCTAATATGATTCTCTTTTATGTGTCTGAAAGCTGAAACAAGTGAGAGCGATAATCAACTATCGAATCCAATGTGGAATTGATTGATTCAGATACGTTTTGTAGTATCATTCTCATTGCAAAGATCTTAGCTTGTAGTTTGTATGCTCTGTGTATGGTTTCCTTATCAGTTTTAGAGACTTTAGTGTTTCAATGATATTTCCAGCTTTAAATTCTCTTCCTTGCTTGATGGACAATGGAACAGTTCCACTTGAAGTCCAAATACGTACACATGAGATGCATTTGCAAGCAGAATTTGGGTTTGCAGCTCATTGGAGGTACAAGGAAGGTGGCTGCAAATACTCTTCGTTTGTGCTTCAGATGGTTGATGGTGTTGGAATCAAATAGTTGATTAATAGTTAAATTGGCAAGAGAGAAGATTGAAGATCTTGTAGAGAAGAAGAAGAAGAAGATGTAGAAGGACATGAGAAGAAGGAGAGTCGAGAGAAGAGAAGCATGTGTAGTTTGGGTAATTAGGTTTTGGCCTCTTAACATGTATAGCCCATAAGCAAGATAATGTTGTTGGGCTAAGTAGAACTATAGGTTAAAACTTTAGTATAAATATGCTTATATAAGTAGTATAAACCTAATATATGCTTATATGCTTTGGTTCTTATATATAAAAAATCATGAAAATGGAAGTTTAAATGTCAAATATAATAATTTGAAATTTATTTGATTGTAAATATGTATTTGATCAGTAAAATAAAAATTAATATGATTAGATTAAAAATTAAAATATAAGCAGATGAAAACATGGGCATTTTAGTCATTTTTCTTATCAGAAGCATCTAGATGAATCACCCAACTGAACAAACAAACAAAGTTTCAAAGAAAAATAGTTAGATGGATCATCCAGCTGAACCACCAAAAATGGAAACGAACATCATTCAGATGGATTAGTCAGATGGATCATTTGCATGGACCATTTGGATGGACATCCCAAAGGAGCAAACGAACAGGGCCTTAAGTAGATAGCTCAAATAGCTAGGTCTAATGCTTTAAGAACATTTTTTTTTTTTATATAACTTTGAGCCAGTCAAAAACTAATTTAACTTTATATACTCTCTTCTTTTTCTTTTTACCACAGGGAGACAAAATGAGTTGGTGGTTTATCATTGGTGTATCCTTTTTCTTTGCATTTATACTCATTGCAAAGAACACGAGAAAAACAAAGAAGAATCTACCTCCTGGACCACGAAGACTTCCTATAATTGGAAACTTGCACCAATTGGGATCAAAACCTCAACGTTCGCTATTCAAATTATCTGAAAAGTATGGATCTCTAATGTCTCTAAAGTTTGGAAATGTGTCTGCTGTTGTGGCGTCAACTCCAGAGACGGTGAAGGATGTTTTGAAAACGTTTGATGCAGATTGTTGTTCGCGACCTTATATGACTTATCCTGCAAGAGTCACATACAATTTAAACGATCTCGCGTTTTCTCCGTATAGCAAGTATTGGAGGGAAGTACGAAAGATGACGGTCCTTGAACTCTATACTGCGAAAAGGGTAAAATCGTTTCAAAATGTAAGACAAGAAGAAGTTGCCTCATTCGTCGATTTCATCAAACAATCTGCTTCATTGGAGCAACCAGTTAATATGAAACAGAAGTTAGTGAAACTCTCTGGGAGTGTGATTTGTAGAGTTGGATTTGGTATAAATCTTGAAGGGAGCAAACTTGCGAATACTTATGAGGAAGTTATTCAAGGGACCATGGAGGTGCTGGGGAGTTTCGCAGCAGCGGATTACTTCCCGATTATTGGAAAAATCATTGATAGGATCACGGGGTTGCATAGCAAATGCGAGACGGTTTTTACGTCAATGGATTCGTTTTTCGATGAATCTATAAAGCGTCACCTAGAAGATGCTAATATTAAAGATGATATCATTGACTTGCTCCTAAAGATGGAAAGGGGAGAGATGGGACTTGGAGAGTTTCAACTTACACGAAACCACACCAAAGGAATTCTTCTGGTAAGTGATGGGAGCCTCTTAATCCATAATTCATTCGTAACATGTTGCATAGTGTTTCATTCTTGTCTTTGATTATTTCAGAACGTTCTTATTGCTGGAGTTGACACTTCTGGCCACACTGTGACATGGGTGATGACACATTTGATTAAAAATCCAAGAGTTCTGAAGAAAGCGCAAGCCGAGGTGAGAGAAGTGATCAAAAACAAAGATGATATCACAGAACAAGATATAGAACGGCTCGAGTATTTGAAAATGGTGATTAAAGAAACATTAAGGATAAACCCACTTGTGCCACTTCTGATTCCAAGAGAGGCTTCAAAAGATATGAAGATTGGAGGCTATGACATACCAAAGAAAACATGGATTTATGTCAACATATGGGCTCTTCAGAGGAATCCAAACGTTTGGAAAGATCCAGAAGCTTTCATCCCCGAGAGGTTTATGGATAGCGAGATTGACTACAAAGGTCTAGACTTTGAGTTGTTGCCATTTGGTAGTGGAAGGAGAATGTGCCCTGGTATGGGAATGGGTATGGCTTTGGTACACTTGACTCTTATCAATCTTCTTTACCGATTCGATTGGAAGCTTCCAGAAGGAATGAACATAGAAGATGTTGATCTTGAAGAATCATATGGACTTGTTTGTCCTAAGAAAGTTCCACTTCAACTTATCCCGGTCCTTACGCAGTGGACTTGACTTGACTTCACTTTCCTCTTTTGGACTTTACTTTACTTAATAATTTTATAGTTCAAAACTATGTAATGTGAAGATCTTATACCATTACTACCATCAATAAAATATTTGTCCGATCCATATCTTGTAGCTTAAACACAACTTCTTGGGACAATGACTACCGAATCAAATTGCGAAACAAAAAGGCGGGGTATAATATTACTAGGACTAGAGCTAAACACTCACAGTTGGTGATGGAGGAAGACACTGTCTTCTCCTTTCCCCTCTTCTGCTTCGGTTTAAAGAACCCGATGAAGAAAGCGAAGGCTCAGGTGGAAATCTACTTGATCTACTCCGAAGTTTCTTCTTCTCAGCTTCCGGAATCTTCTCCTCCTTTGATCTCACCTGCCTCACCTTTGTCTCATTCAGCTCCGCCGGCAGAACACAATTGCAAAACAAACCTAAAGGGAAAAAAACAAACCTAAACTTATAGCTTTTACTAAAACAGAGTAAAAGCCAATATTCTGTTTTGTAGCTTCTTACCGAAGCGAGCAAGACGGTTAACCCAACTAGGGATCGATCTTCGAGTCAACTGCACACAAACATCATTGCAAAAGTGATTGCAATTCTTAGTGATCAAATGGTAAGTATTTCCACTATATTCTTCTGCAAGTTTCTCCATAAAAGCACGAACGTTTTCAGGATCCAAATCAGTTCTTCCAATCAATATAGACTTCCTGAATGTAAAACCCGGACATTGCTTCGGTTCCACCTCGAAAATCCCCGTCGTCGAATGCTCATGAGCTCCGAAACCATATTCAACCCCATGAACTAAACCAAAACATTAATAACACAATATCAAAAACAACAACTAGATCTCAATATTAAACATACTTCATTTTTGGACATACATATAGATAATATACAATTCAATTTAAAAGTCACATAAAACCAGGTTCTGATTATTATTATTATTAACTCATAGAAAATCAAAAGAGTTAAATCCAAAAATGGGTCAAAAAAAGTTTCCAGTTTTGGAATCTATTGAAAACGAAACCAGTCTATTTCAATTTCTACAAACAAACAAAACAAACCATCAAACATCAAAGTAAAAAGTCTCTTACTTCAAGCTAAAACAGACTCAAATCTCCATTCAAAAGGAACCAAATTCTGCTCTCAAAGATGAGAAATTTGCAATCCCCAATTCAAAAATTTCTAGCTTTAACCAAAACCCACAAATAATTTCCAAGAAAAGGAGAGGAAGGTGATACCTTCAACACCAGAGTGATAGATCCCAAGTCCTAACCAGTAAGCATAACCATTGATGGGTGTGAGATCGTATACATTCAGATAAACCGGAACCGAACCGGGTTTCTTTTTCCGGCCAGTAACCACCACCATTCTACACAACATATTTCTTTAACAGAAGAAAGAGGAGCTTCGAATCTTATTCTTCTGTCAATCTGAGAGAGAAGCTTCTGATGATGTTTCCTTCTTTCTTTAAAGTTACATTCTTTTTGGGGTTCCGCTTTCTGTCATTCTTCTCTCATTTTCTTTAGGGTATAATATTGTTGTTTAGGTCCTTATAAATTATATGTTTTTTACGTTTTGCCCCAATATTATTAATTGGAGTTTTTGACGTCAACGACGCCAACGAGGACTACTTGAGAGCTGAGAAGTGTGTACTTTGTCTTTCTACGAATCATCTTTGACAATGTAATAGTTTGTACTTTGTAGTAGTCCTGAGCGAATTAACCGAATCGAAAATATTAAATTATATTAGAATCGAACCAAACTGAAAAGAAATGAACAAAAAATCAAATCGAATTGTAAAATATTCGAATGGATTCTAAATCAGAACCGAACTGAAATATTAATCCGAAATATAATTATATTTTAAAAAATATTAGTTACTTTTAGACCAAATAACCGAAAACATCCGGAATATAAAAAGAAAAAACCGACGAAAATATCGAAGAATACCAAAAATACCTGTAACAAATACCTAAAAATACCTGAAAAACTACTCGTTTGGATCCTAAACTTTAGAACTAAAAGAACCGGATCTGAAATGAAACCGAATTTTGTTCGGTACCTATATAGGTCCTTAACTCGAGAACCGGAACCGACCTGAATAATCCGAACTCCGAGGGATATGTTTTTTTGGTTCTAGAGTTTATGATCGATATCCATATAGATACATAGAAAAATTTGGTTCGGTTCCGGTTGGATCTGGTTATTTGGGTTCCGGAGTGATGCATTTGAATATTTTTGAATATTTTCGAGTGTTTTTTGAATATTTGTTTAGAGTATGTTTGAATATTTTGGACATTTCTCGTATTTCGAATATTTTTGATTATTCAATCTAAAAGTAACTAATATTTTTCTCAAAATATTTTGGTGGCTCTGGAATTTATGATCCATTCAAATATTTTAGAATTTTTGTTCGATTTTGGTTCGGTTCTGAATCCGATCCAGTACTATTAATTCAGTTAATTTTTCCGGGACTAGAGAAAGCTATGGAAATCAGCCTTGTATGTTAAATAAAACGTTTCAACGACGGACGCAAAGAATCATTCGTGGAAGTGGGTGGTAGATTTTGTAATAAAATGAGGAAGAGCAGGGTAAAACAGGTAAATTATATTAAATAAATAGAAATCGACAAAGCCACGAGCCATGTCTCAGGAGTTGTGTCTTTGTGTGCGTTCTAAGCAAAACGATGACTAGCTGTTAAGGCGTGAGGTTGGCAACATAATTACGTTTTTTAATCTTTGACCAAACAAAACAACAAAAAGAAATTACGCTGACTTACTTGATAATTATAGACTGATTCTTTGTTTTATGTGATTAATGTATTTATATTGTACTTGAATTTATCTTTAAATATGAGCTTACGATCATTGTTCAATACTTTCATTAATAATATTTTAAAAAAATTATAAAGAAAAGGCATAAAATTTCATGTAAAATAATGGACCAAAAATATTATCATTAACGGACTTGGCATAGGGGTTAGATATTATAAGGAATTATTGCATATTAAGGCACTTCTCTCCACATATTTGTGCCTTTAGACACTTTAGAAGGAGAAGGCACTTTCTCTATGTGAATAGACATCACTACCCTCTAACTATCTCTTTCTCTCCGTCTCTCGTTAGCAAAACCTCTCTTTGTCATCTTTCTTAATTCTTATTTTAGATTACAAAAACACTTTTGGCTTCTCTTTATCTCTCTCTTTCCAGAATCAAAATCAATCTTTTTAGGACAATATCAATATTCAAAATCAAAATCAAAGTTGAATCTCTTATCTGTTTTTTCTTTTCCTGTAGTTGTAGATACTTAGAAACCTAAAATCTTCTTCTCTTCTCTTCAACATCTCCTTAATCGGCTTCTTCACATCTTCTTCTCCCTCCCTTCTCGTCGAGAAATTCATCCACCATGGCTTCCACCCACTTCCTCTCCGTCGTTGCTTGTCACGAACCGCTGCGAAACCATTGATTTCTTATAACGAGACATGTATCTAATGTTATCTGGTCTTAATACTCTTGTCAAAGCTTTGATTTTTGATTACTAAATTCTCTGATCTAGGGTTTGATCTGTCCTTAGAGAAACGGTGGTAACAGTGGCTTACGAAGTGGTTTGTTCTGGTGGTTACGGTGGCTCACGGAGGTTGGATGCGGAAATTGAAAGCTCGAGAGGGTGGAGGTCTTTATCTAGACATCAGTCACTTAACCGTGGTGGTGGTTCTGTTAGGGTAGATCCAATGAATAACAATTCGAGCTGTCAAAGGATCACCTTCGTGCTCAAAAGGTTTCATTTTTTCATCCAATTCAATCTTCTTGTTTCTATCTTAGCCTAGGAATTGTATACACCATAGTTACAATGTGTAAGTTTTAGTGCTGATCCATTGATTTTCAAATTAATGAAAATCTAAATCTTAACCTATGATTCGAGAGTTGGTATCAATAGCTTTTCAGCTTCAGGAATTGATGTTCGGTAGGTCCTCTAGTATCCTGATATCGTTTTTATGTTGCTTGTCAAATATTAAAGACTTGTGGACTTTAGGATTTTGTGATGTTACGAGAAACTATGTAGTCATGTTCAGTACTAAGTAGCTTTTTGTTTTTGGTTAGTCTGGAATCATGGAAGGTTCTGATTCATCATTGGAGGGTAAAGCAAGTGATCTCAAGATTAGTGAACAAGAAGTGTGAATGTACCTGAATGAAGTAGTTGAGAGGCAGGGTATATAAGGATAAGGAAAAGATCACTTTTGAGAATGGTGGGTATATATGACAAATACTTCAAGGTAACACCGTGAAGAAAATGTTATTTGAGACCAAATATATCTCTTTCTCTCTTGGCTTTTAGACTTTTCATTCTTTCGTTTTTGGCTATATCTCTTTACAGATCAAAGAGCAACGTTGATAGCAATTAAAGAGTGGCTCTTGAGATTAGTAATAAAACTGTTTTGTGGGTAAGGTTTGAAAGTTGATACCAATAAAATAGAGGCTCTTGAGATTATTGTTGAACCTCTTCTTGACTTGTAAAGTTTGTATGTGTTTTATGGTCTTTGTGGCTACGGAGAAACTCCTTTGTGGCATGCCATCTCTGATTCTGCTTTTACCTTCCATTGATGGATTTACACAGCTTCAATCATTTCAATCTCGTAACATGATTATAATGAAACGAGATTGACTATTGACGATTGTGTATTTATGACACCTTGGCACCGGTGAAGAGATTAGTCCCTTGAACTTGTGCTCATTTATGCTATATCTTGAGATGTTTGGTAATTAAAATCAAACTTGGACTTGTATTTAGAACTTCAAAATCCAATCGAGAAGATCTAAAAAAAGTATTATGTTTAGTTTGTGTAAACATCTGTCTTGGTATAAAACGACGACCATGTGAGTCACAAGATGACCATATGGATTGCACAGCTTGGACAAACATCAATAAACAACGTATATGGTATGGATCCATTTTATAATGATGGTAGTGTCCACTCACAAGTGAATATTGGTCAAAGAAAAATGGATGGTGTACTTTTAGTTGCCGATTATCGTTCATATATATTTAAAAGAAGTAAAATATCGGTTTGGGTTTAGTAGGTAGAGGTAGGGTTTAGTGTTAACCCTTTAAACCAAACTTTTATCTCGTTTTAGGTTTATATTGTTTACGAAGTTAGATATCGGTTTGGGTTTAGTAGGTAGGGATAGGGTTTAGAGTTATATATTTAAAAGAAGTTAAATATCGGTTTTGTTTAGTAGGTAGGGGGTAGGGTGTCCATTTAAATTTAATAATTTTGGTTTTAGATTTATGGTTTAGGGTTTAAAGTTTCACTTACCCTTTGAAAATCAATCAAATGGTAAATTCAGTATTTTTGCTTCTTAATTATGTGCAAACAAACTTATGTATTGAAGATTATCGTTCATGTATAAATTTGTGTATTTGTATGAAACTACCATGTGAATTACTAGATGACCAGTTGGACTTGATTTGTTTGACACTAATTAATGGACAACTATGTATTTGATTTGATGCGAATGAGTTTTATCACTTGGTAAAATTATCAATTTTTTTATGGTTACGATATAGGCACTTTGGAAAGTTAGATATCGATTTGGTTGCTTGGGTTAACAAAGTATGGTCTAGAGTATACTTATCTATATTGAAACATGAATTAAGATAAAGTTGGGAAATAGGGTATAGGGTTAAGATTTTGTTGCTTGGGTTTACTAGGTATTATCTAGGGTATAGTTATCTACATTGAAAAAAGAATTAAAACAAAGTACAATTTTATTAGTTAACTAGTAGTTATGGTTATTGCTTGGGTTTACTAGGTATTATCTAGGGTATAGTTATCTACATTGAAAAAAGAATTAAAACAAAGTACAATTTTATTAGTTAACTAGTAGTTATGGTTATTGCTTGGGTTTACTAGGTATTATCTAGGGTATAGTTATCTACATTGAAAAAAGAATTAAAACAAAGTACAGTTTTATTAGTTAACTAGTAGTTATGGTTATTGCTTGGGTTTACTAAGTATTATCTAGGGTATAGTTATCTACATTGAAAAAAGAATTAAAACAAAGTACAGTTTTATTAGTTAAGTAGTAGTTATGGTTATTGATTGGGTTTACTAAGTATTATCTAGGGTATAGTTATCTACATTGAAAAAAGAATTAAAACAAAGTACAGTTTTATTAGTTAAGTAGTATCCATGTACAAGTGAACCAATGGTCAAAAGACAAATGGACACCCTAAACATCTAGAGTTTAGTGTTATATATTTAAAAGGAGTTAAATATCGGTTTGGGTTTATATTGTTAACGAAGTTAGATATCCGTTTGGTTTACTAGGTAGGGATAGGGTTTAGTGTTATATATTTAAAAGAAGTTAAATATCGGTTTGGGTTTAGTAGGTAGGGAGTAGGGTTTAGTGTTATATATTTAAAAGGAGTTAAATATCGGTTTGGGTTTATATTGTTAACAAAGTATATCATCCATTTTTCTTTGAC